AGGGTTGCGATCCCGTTGCCGGTCACGAAAAAAGACAAAAAGGAAAAAAAAAAAAAAAACAATAAAGTCAAATTGCTTATAAAATGAACTAGGCACACAAGGGGAAAATGTTTTCTATTCACTGAGGTCAAAAAATCTCAAGCCTCGAGATACTAATTGTATTTTAGAATCATTTGAGTTCCTACTGATGTAGAATCAATGAAGATAAAATAACTCATTTGGCAAAATATCAAGGAGAAAAGAGAAGGCACTCATCGCTTTTGTTAGTGGTAGAACTAACGCACATATTCAGTAAAGGTAATGCATGGATTCAGAAAAAAAGGTGGACTGTATTGCTAGTGGTGGGGAAAGGGCTTGGAGAACAGCAAGGCCTAAGGTTTTTCATAGTATTGAATACACTTAACCTAACAAACCAACAAAAATCTTCTTTTGGAATAAAAACCTCAAGTTTCAGTCTAGAGTCTGTATAGTGAAACCAAGTTATATGTTATGTATTAACACTGATTTTTAGAAAGACCCATAGTGTTAAGAAAAGGCATGAAATCAAGAGTGAAATTTTGTGATTCAGTTTGTGAACAGGTAAGAAATTTCGAGAGGCAAAAGGCATTGCTACCCATAAAATTATATCTTCTCTGCAATCTACTTAGTTACACAGGCAAATTCTAAGCAAGAGGATGGACATAAGATGTAAACCAAAAAGTAAAAATAATATTAAAAGCTGGAATATGGTAGAAGAGTTAAAATAATCTATAAGAAACTTTCTCTGAATATCACATACAGGTTGGAGAGAAGTCAGAAGTCAGTGATGAGAAATGGTACAGTTACAACATTTATTCTTCTGGGACTGACAGATGACCCTCACCTTCAGGTTCTGATTTTTATCTTTCTATTTCTGACCTACATGTTGAGTATAACTGGGAACCTGACTATCATCACACTCACCTTTGTGGATGCCCGCCTTAAAACACCCATGTACTTCTTCTTAAAAAATTTCTCCTTCCTAGAAATCTCATTCACATCTGCTTGTATTCCTAGATACTTGTATAACATAGCAACAGGTGACAAGGTCATTACCTATAATGATTGTGTCATCCAAGTGTTTTTTACTGACCTCTGTGGAGTAACAGAATTTTTTCTTCTAGCCACCATGTCCTATGACCGCTATGTGGCCATCTGCAAACCCCTACATTATGTGACTATCATGAGTAGTAAAGTCTGCAGGATTCTTATAATATGTTGCTGGACAGCTGGCTTATGCATAATAATCCCACCACTTAGCCTGGGTTTAAATCTAAAATTCTGTGACTCTAACATGATTGAACATTTTGGCTGTGATGCATTTCCCCTGGTGAAAATCTCATGCTCAGACACATGGTTCATGGAACAGACAGTTGTTATTTGTGCTGTGCTGACCCTGAATATGACTCTTATTTGTGTAGTTCTGTCATATGCTTACATCATCAAAACAATTCTTAGGTTCCCCTCTGTCCAGCAAAGGAAAAAGGCCTTTTCCACCTGTTCTTCCCACATGATTGTGGTTTCCATCACATATGGCACATGCATTTTCATCTATATGAATCCTACAGCAAAGGAAGAAGTGACAGTTAATAAGGTAGTTTCACTGCTCATCTCTTCTATTTCACCTACATTGAACCCATTTATTTATACACTGAGAAACAATCAAGCTAAGAAAGCCTTCAAGGAGTCAATCAAAAGAATTGCATTGCTCTCAACTAAGTAAGAGAAAATATTTTAAAACATATCAACAGAAAAGATACATGGCCATAGACATTTTATTTTTTAATTTTATAACCTTGTTTGTTTTTTAATAATATATAACTGAATTACATTAATTTTCTTACCATTTCTGTAAACTACCTTCCATTGAGTCCTACGCAAGTCATTTTTGTATCTTTAGTTTTCAAACCAATGTATGATGGTTTTTCATGTCATTAAGTGAACACATAAACAGATTTCTCAAAATATCATTTTGAAATATTAACTTTGTAATACTTAATTTTAATATATAATATAAGTCATTACTCAGAAAAAATATAGAGCAAAATCTTTTGTAGCTCTTCTCAAATACACACA